CGGGGACCGCCCTTAATTTAAAAGTAAAACAAAGAGCTTTCCTCGATTGTTGTTCTGAAAAAGTGAGAGATTTTCCCCATTTTGTTATAAACCATATTGAAATCTGTCGTAACCAAAACCCATAAGAACCAAAGAAATTTTTTTTGTAGCGAAAAAAGAAGAAGCATTTTTTTCTGGAGATGAATGGTGGAAAATATTTCCTACGTTGAGCATTTAACTAAAGTACACTGTATGATATGTTCCCCTGTTAATTTAGCTTGCAAAGGGACAATTTCTATTGAAATTGAAAGTATATTTAAATCCTGAAAAATCTGACATTCACTAACAACATATGGCAGTGCAAAAGTGATGAATATTTTTGCAATTCTTCAACATTATGACAAAATTTTTAAGCAATGGAATTTATTAAAAAGTTCTGTAATCTGTATATTTAAGTATGAAAATCACTACTCACCTAAAAAATAGCCGTAAGAAGACTCTCAAATTACTGTTCATATAAACCAATAAACTTGAGGGACATTCCCTCATTATCATAACTAAGCGAGACCAGAAACAAGAACAGCAAGTGTTGCAATTGCCAACCCTAGCACAACAAACTGCCCCTTCACAGATTTTAATGGAGCAGCCATGTTGGGACCTGGTGCCGGTGCATGGGCAACAGGAACAGCAGGAGAGGCTAATGCAGGAGTTGGAGCTGCCGCGGAAGGATGGCGGAGCACGTTGATGTCGACCTTCTGGCCGGCTTGGCAGTGACCTGGGATTCCACAGATGAAGAAGTGGTGGCCTTTGGTGGTGATTGTGATGGTGTCGTTTCCAGTGGCATAGGAGTCCAAGGGGACACTGGCATTACATGACTGGTACATGGGATGTGTAACGTGCATTACGTTGTGAAATTGAGAATTGTACTCGAACTCTGATCATTGATATCCCACACAAAAGAAGGAAAAGATATAACAAAAACACAAAAAAAGACTAATGAGATATATTTCTAGAATTATAGAACAGCGCCCAACAAGCAAAACCTTGCTTTGGACCATTTCATTAAATTGCCAGGTAAATTAGCTGCCTAATATTACCAAACTCCAGTTATTGACACAAGCTTGAGCTATATAGCTAGCACCCTAACATATATCCGCACCCTTTTCCTTTTAATTTGGTTGATTTTTTCTTTTAGAAAAAAAAAAAAAGGTTTGCTTAATTATTTATACTAGCTATTCTTATTTTCTTCATCTTGTATGATATAAAATCATAAAGTAGGCACACTTGGGTTAGACCAGTTGGCCAAGACAGTTAATCCACCCATTTGCACCCAAGTTTAAAACTAGAGTAGTTTAGACTATTGCTCGTATCAATAGAATGTAAGATGTATAGTGGTGCTGCTGCACCCTTTTCGAACGTGAATGTAAAGCTATAATATTGCATCAAAGCACGCGTGCATAATGGGTCAGTGAGGGTGGGATTTAGAAAGAGATGTTTAGCCTTTTGTCTGGGCAACCATGTCCAACATATATCAATCATGGAGACACCCCAACAAAAGGTTGCATTTATAAATATGAATTATATTATATATGAGCTCATAATTATATGCTACTACGCACTGTTTTATGGAGCAATAAGAGATGCAGAAAAATTAAAATATAAGTAAATGAACTGAGAAAACTTATGGAGAAAATTGAGAGAGAAACTCACTGATAATATCACCAACATGAAAAGTCTTAGAGGCAGCCCACTTCTTGTAGTCGACACCGCCAATGGTGGTCCACCCGGCGGAGTCTCCCACCTTGTGAACAGCTGCATGGGATACCTTCAGAGCAGCCATCACCACCAGCACGACAGCCAAGAAAACTCTCACCACCAAAGCCATGGCAGCTGCTAGAAACTTTGAGACTGAGATCTAGCTAGTAGCTAACTTGATCTAGTTGGATTTTTTTGATTGGTAGCAGTGAGATGCTCAAAGGGAGCTTCCCTTCGTTGGCATTTATAAAGCTTTTGGATGGGCTGGCTGGTTGGAGAAGCTGCAACTTGGAAGCCTGAAAAGGAGAATTTTAATTGGCTGGTTGTAAAGCTTTTGGGGGTGGTGCTTTGGTTTAGTTGTCCCTTGTGGTTTAATTCAAGTAAGAAAAGTGAGGCGAATCCAACGATTGTGACTTACCAAAGTATAGTGTATGGTTGCGGTTGAATAACGCCAAATGTAAACTGCTAGAGAAGAAATTTACAAGGATCCCCTTTTTGTTTATTTATTGTATAATTTTGGTGGTGATATTGCTGACATTTGAAGGATGGAAGCAGCAAATCAGAATTTCTTTTTCTAAAATTTGTGTTCATTTTTGGAGAAAATACTTTTGGAATTGGGGAGAGTTATTTATATTTCTTTTGGCTTTTGGATATTGGTAATTTGGTAGTGGCTTTTGGGTATTCGTTTGGGAAGGAATCTGATGGGATGAAGGTCAGAACAAAACTATTGCCATATTCAGATGAGCGGCTCTGATTTGTTGGAAAAGGACATTGTCGTCGGGCTTGTAAATTTTAGTTTGGTAGAATACAATGACCTTTCAATCCAAAGAACAGGAGATAATTTTCAATCTTCTATATTTTATTCCATGTAATATAATAATGCTACCATCTAAGTCATCAACTTCTTGTGAAAAATAATACATACATCATTCAGTTCAAGTGTTATCCTCTATGTTGACCGATACGGACCAATAGCCAATACTGATATTGACTTAACCAGACCTGCAAAACTCAACTCATCAGTAGGTGTGTGGCTTATAATAGTGGAACCGCTCATTATATTTTGTATTTATTTTGTTGAATTTTCAATATGGGACTTTACATTCTTCAAATATAATGACCAAATAATTTTCGATTATTGAAGAGGAATATATATGGAACATGAATGGTTTTGATCATTACAATGACCTGGAAGAGCACATGAGCCCATGTAAACAGGTTGCCGCATGCATCATCTTCTTGTTTGGGACTACCGACTATAAGATTGAAGGACTTGAAAGGAAAGGATGTTGGGTTTTGTTGGTTAGAAAGAGCGAATGTTTGTGCCAAGAGTAGAGTTTTTGTTTATGTAAATTTGTACAAAAAGTTTTGTTGGTATTGGTGAGTTGCATGATGACGATCGCCTACCATTATAATTTTTGCAGTTGAGAACGTTGCTTTGTACATGGGAGAAGAACAGCCTTGCTTTGTACAATTCCTTATAAGATGCTACATGCACGTGTTTAATATATTCTTTTACCTTTTAATCCACCATATAATCAAGATTTCAAATGCAAAAGAAAGCAAAACAGAGGGTGCAAAGTGTGCTCTCGGCACTAGACTTTTCTTAATATTCAATACGAAACGGGAACCGTGTATTCTCTCTCTAAGTTTGTTCCATATTTGTTCTCCTACCTGTTGAGAGTATTTGTCCCACCTTGAAAAGTTAAGGGACCTAGCCTGGGTTTATAAGGAGTTGGGCTACTCCCCCCATTGCCAATTGGTTTTGGGGTGGAACCTCAACTTCCTTCATGGTAAAGGGTGTCTCACACGTTTCTACAAATAAGTGAATTTTTTTAAAAATAGAAACTTGTACCGGTATCGAATATAATTTAGTATTTTGAATTTTATTTTATTTATTTGCAACTATTATTGAAATACTTGAATCTTGAGAAAATTTACATTTATCAACAATATCTAGCGTAAATGTGATGACATTTTTTTTTAGTTCTTCAACATTTTCACAAAATTTGAGAAATAGCCCTACCCCAAACTATGGGCAGTGAGAATAAGTCAAGTTAATACACAATGTATAACTGGAGTTTATTAAGACATGTGGGCTCCACGTACACCGGTAGGGCCACCTCTATTAAAGAGGTGCACTACTACAATATGTGGCTTTGGGCACCTATATTATTTGTGCTCTTTGACCCAAAAAGGCACAATTATTCGTGCTCTATGATAATTGTCACGGTGCAACCACAATAAATAAGTCAGTTTTCTGTACAGGAGTTTGTATTGCTTAAAATACATATTTTTTCTTTTCCGTGCCCTAAAACTCAATACTTTTGGGCACGTATATGACATTGTGTGGCATTGTTCTGACAACATTGATTCTTGCTTTTGATTTGACTTTTGCACATACACACGAATCATTCATTCTTGTCCAATGTAATTATTTATGAAAAAAAAAATTATAATTGCAAAAAAAGAAAACAGAAAAAACATAAACCACCTATTTTATATCTCTCCATCAGAGCCACCTATATTCTCTCTCTCTTTGTTTCTCAACCACTGCCACATCAAATATCCCTCCACATCTAAATTAACCTAGTTCTTCTCTCTTTCTCCACCACCACCACCTCATATTGCTCCACCATCTAAACAACCGCCGCTTCTTCACTCTCTCCAACATCTCCACCTCCTATTTCTCTTTCTCCTCCCAAATATGCTCTATGCACACAGCAACCCAACCCCAATTTTCAGATCGTAACCTCAAAACCCACCATAGAATCGAGCCCTATAATCACCAGCCTTCATCCATTGCCTTCTTTCCCTAAATCAGCCAAGTACTTGTGAAAGTGCAGGTGCATGTGGGTGAAGTGGTTAGTCTCTCTGATCTGTGTTGGTGGAGGCGACTTTGGATGGTGGCGGCATGGCGTTGTGCTAGCAAAGGCGGCATGGAGGTGGTGAAGAGAAGGAAGTTTTGCTAGTGGCTCAGAGACACAGAGAGGGGGAGGGAGAAACAACTTAAGGGGGTATATTCAATTAAGATTTTAAAAGAGTTTAAAAGAGTTTAAAAGTTTGGGTGTATTCAATTCAGATTTTAAAAGAGTTTGTAAAAATTTGGGTGTATTCAATTCAGATTTCAATTGATAATAAAAAAATACATCGAAATCTAGGTGTATTCAATTATGACTTTTTAAAAATCAAACAAAATTTAGGTGTATTCAAAAAGTAATTTATTTTGAAAGAATTAATAAGTTGCCCGATTTCGTTAGAAATTAAAGTGGTAAGTATATATAAAAAAGGCCCTGACAAATCTTATGTCAACCCTAGAAACTTTGAACATGCTCTACGCTTTCCAGTCCTTGAACGTGTGTGCTTGTCAAGTGGATTTATGTATGTATGATCTTTCATCGTGTGTTTGAATATTTGTTGTTGCTACATCACCATATTTCGATGAACAATAGCATATATATATATATCGATGTATATATAATCTTCACATGGCATGTAATCGATGTACATCACCATATTGCTTGAATGGTTGTTGTTGTTGCCATCGTCATATATAGATCAACATCAACATATTTGTTGCTGTAAATATTTGCTGCTGTACATATTGTTGAACATCAACACATTTTTGGTTGCTCTTATTATTATTATTTATTTTATTTTATCATATATAGGGTTTAGGGTTGCTGTTATTATAATTATTTTTTTTGCTGTTATTATTATTTTTTTATTTGCTGTTAATTTTTTTTTGTTGGTTTCTGTACATCACAACCTTCTTCATCGATCTATAGTCATCCTTTTTTCTTTGTTTTGTACAATATCTATATATATCTAGTCCATGCCAAAACAAAAATCAACAAACCAAAAAAAAGAAAAAAATAAATAAATTAGAACTCTAATCAACTCATTTAAAATCTATGATCAAACTCTAACAAACACTATCAAAATCAATCTAGGAATTCAATCAAACTCTACGTGGAGTTGATAGAAATCAATTGAACTACATTGAACTCAATAAACTTTATAACTCCATTTAACTCTTTTAAAATCTTAATTGAATACACCCCCCTAAAAAAGGAGAGTGATGGGTGAGAGATTTTTTAGGGTTTAAAGTTTTAAACTTGAGGTAGATGATTGACCCAAAAGACACAAAAAAGAAAAAAAAAAAAAGTAAAGAAGAAACTTTAGGTGGAAGCCGGTTTCAAACTTTTGCTATGAAAATGAAACATTAAAAGAGTTTGAAACTTAAGTAAATTATTATAAATTATTGGGCACCAAATGGTTTTTGTGTCTAGTATGTCACATATGTCAGATAAAAGCATAGTTTGAAAACAAAAAATTACTTTCCATGTAAATTCTAATAAATATTGGGCATATAAAATGGTTTTTTTGCCTAAAATTTGTCAAATCTGTCAAATAAAGACACAAATATTTTATGCTTATCCAAATAACTTATCTTTTTGTTATTATTTAAAAAATATGTCAAATTTGTCAAATAAAGACACAAATATGTTATGCTTATCCCAATAACTTATCTTTTTGTTATTATTTAAAAAATGTGTCAGATTGTACTTACATGATACATAGGGACAGGGCACTGTTTCTTGTGCCAAATTTAAAATCGTGCGCACGAATTCAGCACAAGTATTTGTGTTATATATATAAAGAGCACAAATGTAACTTATTTGTGTCTAATATTATAAAAGAGAGCACAAAAGAAAAAAAAGAAATTGCTAAGATGGACGTCTAGAAAAATACGAGCGATAAAGGAAAACTTTTAAGACTACGATATATCACACACGCGCGATTAAAATATGAAAATGTTGAAACGGACATCTATATAAATACAATTGTGAAAAAATATTTACGAAACTTTGTAAGTCGCGCGTAGTGCGCATGATTAAAAAAAAGCAGAGCGTGCAGGGAGGCTAGTATATATAAAGAGCACAAATGTAACTTGTTTGTGTCTAATATTATAAAAGAGAGCACAATATTGTATTCGTGCCCTTATGTTCGTGATTTTTGCTCAATTTTTTAGTAGTGGTGGTCAGCAATGTAGTTAACAAATGTGGTACAAAGATGTATGTCGAGTATGAAAATATCACAACTAAGCCACCTTAAAAGTTCCTTATTAAAAACCTCTCAAAGTGTCCATATAAAGCAAAAAACTTGAGACACACGCATTCCATAAAGGGATGCAAGACTACAAACAAAAACTATCAGAGTTGCAATTCCCAGTCCTAGCAAAGCAAAAATGTCCCTTGATCATCAGGGTGCGCATGCGGTGGCAGCAGAGGAACTTATTATTGGTTTGTGCTTGTGATGTTGGCCATGGGGTTTCTGATACTGATTTTAGTGGTCATTTATGATGAGGGGTTATTTGTAGGAAGAGTTTTCCTAGCTGTAACATCCTTCCCATTAATGGAGAATACGACCTTTTTTCTCCTATTAAAGACAGCTTCAACGGCGGAAGCAGAATGAAAAACAAGGCGGGCAAAGCAAGGTTTCTCAACATTTTGCACGTAGAGAGCTTTAACTTCTCCGAATCTCCTGCCAAAATGATAAATAAAACCAACATTCATTTATAAAATTATATATATGTATATAGTATATGAAGGAACTTAAGTAATTTGCACTAATGTGAGCTAATATATATACAATAGGCAACTGCCATGGAAACTGCTGCCAGGCAATCTGCTATGTTTTAGGCTCACTCAGGCATATTAAAATAGGCAAATTGAGGATCTTTGGTCTCTGAACTTCTTGGTAGTTAGCATTGGGGCGTTTGTGTTTTGGGAACGGCCGTCTCAGATGTCAACAGTGAAATCTTCCTCTGCTGCTCGCGGAAGAATCAAGATATGAGACTAATAAAATAACAAGACAAGATATGAGATTGATAAAATAACAAGACACGATATGACAGATGTAGATAAACCAAAACAACACACAGAGGTTTATACTGGTGTGGCATTAAAGCCTATGTCCAGTTCGAAGATGGCGAGGAAATTCTACTATTAACACAAGGAGATTACAGAGGAGTTAATACTCTCACCACAACAGGAGATTACAGAGATCAACTCTCTCGACCCAAACCCCAAATACATCCAATCACTCACACTAGTCACAAATACAAATGAGCCAAGAACAAATCTCAGATTCTTGTTCACATACAATACAAATACCAAAAGGAGAACATATACAAATGTGTGAAGCAACTCATAAACAGAGGAAGAGAAACTTACAGACTCTCCTTGTTGCTCACTAAGTTGCTAGCACACCAAACCTGTAAACAGCTGCATGGGATACCTGCGCCATAACCATTATCACCAACTCTAGAGCCAAGACTCTCGCTCCCAAAGCCATGGCAGCTGCAAGAAACTTTGACGGAGGGAAAGAGTAGTAAATTAATTTCTTCTGATCGATTTATGGAAATTTATAAAGTGCTTTTAGGTCTAAAGGGGCATCATCAGTAGCAAACCAGAATTTTCTTCTATCATATTCTTTCATCTTTGTTTTTGGTGGAAGCCCTGTGCTATGACAAAAGTGAAGAGCAAGTTGGTGCAGACGGTCACACTCTGTCCGGCTGAGCGGGTCTCTAGTGGGAATGTCTCACTAGGTATCAGCCAACCTAGAGGTCCCCAAGACCAAGCAAATGCAGCTACATGAGTGCAAACCAGAACCACCACAAAGATTACAAAGCCTTTGTGAAGGTTATCAGAGTGGTCCTTGACCTTGATTCCTAGTATTACGGCTATAGCCACTTGAGACAGGAACATTTGAACTCCAGCTTGCAGTAACAGCATGCGACGGCCTACTTTATCAACTGAGTAGATGGATACAAAAGTGGAGACAAAATTGACGGCCCCTGTTATAACAGCTGAGTAGAGGGCAGCGTCGCTGTAAAATCCTAATGTGTTGAATAGGACTGGCGTGTAAACCATAATTGCTGTGAGGCCAGTAAATTGTTGAAAGATCTGCAGAGAAGTTTCAGTCAAGAAAGAAAACACAAATCAGCATAATAGTACTAATTCAATTTTTTTAAAATTCTGTCTAGTGCGAAAAGTCATTCTGTTAATTACTAACCGGCATGGCTACTGCAATGATAAGTTGGGGGCGATTCCTACGCTTTAAGAGATTTCTAAAGGGGTGCTTCACTTCTTTAGCGATGCGACTAGCCTCAACAAGTTCCAAGAACTCTGGTTCCACATTATCGGTGCCCCGGATCCTCCTAAGTACAGCTTTTCCTTCTTCCAAGAGACCGCGCTCCACAAGACTGTTGGGAGTTTCCACCACCAAAAGGGCTCCCAAGGTTAGGAGACCAGCAGGAAGACCAGCCAACCCCAATGACACCCTCCAGCCCCATCCTCCTGTGATTCTGTTAATCAAGGAAGTTCATCAACAGTATGCAAAATAGTCAGCATTTACAAAATACCCTTTTTAGTCCCACGGTACCATGAGACACTTCTTGATAAGAAAACCTTGTAAATCCCACAAATCAAGATCCTATCTATTATTCAAATGCATATTTTAATAGAACAACCCTCCCTCCCGTCCCGCAGACAGATACTCATCTATCGTTAGTTTTACCAATCTATTAATTGCATAGTTTATTTGATGAGCCAAATTGTTGACTTCGAGTGCTGAACTCAATGCTAAAATCCCAATAGTCCAACAGAGCAGCATTTATACTAACATATAAAATTTGACAGAACGTTCAACATCTTGCATGTAATTTATGGGGCACGTGTAATGTTCTCTCTTGGATCAACAACATGTGTACTGTTGGCAAATTCTGCGGTCCTTTGGTGTACCCATACACCAAGGGATATTGACCTTTAGATTTAAACAAAATAACAAGGGCAAATCTAGACCATTGGATGAGATAACTTGAAAACCTGCTCAGCAGGTTTAAATAAAATCCCCAACTGGCAACCATTGACGACGACGATAATGGTGAACACCACCTTCCCTTTACCGCCCATCTCTCTCGCTCTCTCCTTCGCTGACCCATAGTTCTCCATACTCATATAACCACAAATTCTTTTCTCAATCTCATTGGCAACCACCACTAATTCATTCAATCTTACACTGGTAAGCACCTATAGGGGAATTCAACTCAGTTCTATTTTTGGTTGTGTATTTGATATGTTTTCATTGGGGTTGTCTCTGATGTTTAGTTAAAAAAGAATTTTAAAGTTTCATAAATAAATAAATAAAAGAATTTGAAAGCGGATAAATTTCTTATGGGTAGTGCACTTTCTCAATTTGTGCTTGAGATTTGTTGGTTTAAGTTCTAGCTGGTATTGGTTGGTATGACATATGTTATTTGTGTAGTAAATTCAACAAGTTAGACATTTGGGAACTTTATGCATGACTCTGTTTGGGTGTATTTTTTTCTTGTATGCATTGACAATGACTAAAGTTTAACTTTTGTAATTTTACAATTGCCCTCTATGAATCTGGGCAATTTTGTTTTTGCATGAGGAATCATTACATTTCCTCATGAAAACCCACAATTTCTCAATGACATTTCACTAAGCCTTGTATGCTGATGCAATTACATAGTTCCTATTTGGTAATTGGGTCTTCCATTAATCCAGCTGCGTATTAAGTAAATCCTTGTATTTTGAGTAAATGTTTGTGGAGACTATGTATGATATTTTTATTTCACCCTCCTAGTTAAGTAAATTCCCAAGGACAATACGATTTTTTCATTGATTATTGGCAGTAGGATTTGTTTGATTGATTGTTTGGTAGTATGTTTAGTTTGCAATTAGATTTCAGATATACCATTACCTACCTCCTGTCTAGCAATTGGTCGTTTCGTCTATCCAATTGGGCATCAATTTCCCTATTTTGTTATTGTTGTGTTTTTTTGGATGCTGGTGCAGTTTCTTGTTTGCTTCAGCTCCGAGTTATGTGGATTTCTTATCTTCTCTTTGTATTAGCTTGATTACTTTAATATAAATTGTGTCTTCTAAGAAAAATGGAACTTTTTACTATAGCTAGATTGATATGTTTGTTTCGTGCAATTGCCAAACAGTGAGTGGGGTTTAGGATTTCAAGTTGGTAGTTTCCAACTCCTTAGGAGCCTTTTGTATGTTAAGTATTTAATTGCCAAAATATAATGTGTGTCCTGAAAACTTTTGAAGAATTATAGAGAGAATTCATAGAAACTGATTTTCTTATTTCTCTTGTTAACTGGTAATTACATCATTACAGTGCTTATATATTTGCACCTACAGCATAACCACTTCGTATCAGCCTAACCACACATTCTAACAAGCTAACTAATTAGAATGACACGTGGATATACTCTATCAGCCCCCTGCAAGCTCATGGGAGAGAGGCTTGAGCATGAGATTGGAGCAGTGATAATCGAATTGAGGTGAGCACAAGCCTTTGGTTAGGATGTCAGCAACTTGTTGAGAAGAGGAAACATGCTGAAGTTGGATTTCACCGCGTGTGACCTTCTCACGAACAAAGTGACAATCAACTTCAATATGCTTAGCACGAGAATGCATAATAGGATTAGTAGAGAGGGCCATAGCAGATAGATTGTCACAGTAAAGGAGAGGAGACTTGGCAAGTGGAAAGGAGAGATCGGCCAACAACTGCTGTAACCACACAATTTCAGCAACAGTGGCAGCCATGGCAGACATGATTGGACAGGGTTCAGCCTCAGAGTAAGATGGAATCGTAGATCGAAAATGACAAGTAGCAGCGATATGACCCTTTTTATGACAAATTTGACAAATAGGCACAGGAGCATAACCGTGAGAGCCATAACTGTTTCGAAAAGGTTGATGAGGCTTACCAATAATACCTCTAGCACCATTACGAAACTGGGGAGGAGAATTGGAGAATTGCGGAGGAGGATTAGAATAAGACTGATTCTTGGGATAAAAGCGTGAACCATTAGAGTGGCCATGTTGATTATAGAACATCTTGCCTTTGCCTTTATCTTGAAATCCAAAGGAAGAATTATGAGACCCATAAGGCATAGAGGAATAAGGAACAAATTTCATACCAGACCCAGAAGAGGAATCCTGTGTCGCGGCAGCCATAGCAGACATGATTGGAACATTGCGAGTGGATTCCTCAATTGTGCCTTCCTCGGCCTTCAATTGAGATCGAAGATCTTTCAAAGAAATACCATGATCACGACCTCGAATCACAGCCTTGACCGTATTATACTCAGAATGTAAGCCTTTGAGAGCCAAAATGACAGTATCATCATCTGGAATTCCAACGCCAACAGCAGAAAGCTCATCACGAACATCCTTGATTTTCTGAAGGTACTGATCAATAGTTTCTGAGCCTTTCTTGATATTATGAAGATCGATCTTTAATTGAAAAATGCTTGCTCTGGTAACACTTGCAATTCGTTCGCGAAGATTGACCCACATGGCTTTAGAGGTTGAGCAACCAATAACACACGAAATAGCCGACGACGACAACGTTGCAGTAATCAAAGTCATGAGTGCTGTGTCATGAATCGTCCAAATCGTGAATGCATCGGAAAGAACAGAGCCATCCACAAAGCCATCCTCTGTGACTAAGAATTGAGGCAGGCATGGGAATGAACCATCGATGAACCCTAGAATTCCATTTCCACGCAGCAAGAGCTCCATTTGAAAGTTCCAAGTGACATAATTTGTATCATCAAGTTTAACAGAAATAGTGTTACCAACACTAGAAATCAAGGAAGAAATTGGGGATTGAGTTGGGGCTAATTGACTCGCTGTTACCATGATTGAAATTGCAAGAATCGATTAATAGAGAGAGAAGAGAGAAGAAGACAGAGCAGGAATGGAGAAGAGATACCAAGAAAGAAAGAGCGGAAGCAAGAAACGATTGAGAAGCGGAAGCTTTTGTTAGGCTCTTGATACCATGAAAACTTTAGAAGAATTATAGAGAGAATTCATAGAAATTGATTTTCTTATTTCTCTTGTTAACTGGTAATTACATCATTACAGTGCTTATATATCTGCACTTACAGCATAACCACTTCGTATCAACCTAACCACATTCTAACAGACTAACTAATTAGAGTGACATGTGGATATACTCTATCAGGTCTAGGGATGGCAATTTTCCCCGCAGGTAAGGGTCTTCGTGGGGATTTGACCCTAATGGGTCGGGTATGAAGGATAAAAAACGGGTATGGGGATGGGTACGGGGAATTTTTTGGGTATGGTATTCGGGGAGGGGCGGAGATGGTATTTTAATCCCCAACCCAAACCCTTCCCGTTTAGAATATATATTAAATTTAGTATATATAAATATGCTATTAAAGTGATTGTACCGACTAAGTTTTATATTATATATTTATATAATTTATACAAATCTTAAGCCACATTACTTATTTATTTAGTTAACTTACAGTCCATATATAAACATTCTTATATTGTCTTATAAGTATATATTATATATATTCATTATCTTGCCTTAGTACTTTTTTTTTCTTTCAACAACGTAGTTATATATTGATTTTTTCTTCTGTAATGCGGAAGGTCGGGGAACTCATTCCCCAACGAAGGTAGGGATGGGAAATCCCCGATATGAATATTGCGGGTATGAAGGAGGGGATGGGGGAAAAAACTTAATGATTCGACCCATTGCCATCCCTAATCAGGTCCCTTTTTTGCTTATTAATTATAAATTAATAGGATGTTACCCATTTTCAGGGAATAGATGTCGAACCAAAAAAATGTTGTGGAATTCATGATCATAGCTCCATGGCTAACATTAGAGGTCATAGCTCCATGGCTAACATTAGAGGTCAAAGCTCTATGGCCAATACTGAAGGTTATTTTGTAGAGGGTGAGTCAGTAGAAGAAAAAAGAAATGACTCATCTTTGCGAGATTTCGACACTACAACACAAGAAATTGTTGAGATTAATGGACATTTGGAGTACGATGGGCTCAATTTTCATGATATGAGTATTGATGACTTAAAGGGGAGGGAGTTTGCAAATTTTGAGGAAGCTGAAAAATTTTATTCAGAGTATGCTCTTGCAATTGGTTTCAGCATAAGAAGAAATCGTTTAGGACGTGGTGAGGGTGGGCTTGTAAGAAGTAGGCAATGGGTCTGCTCAAAAGAAGGAAAAAGAGCAAAGAAATGGACGAATAGAGAGAACCTGTAATTCGTTACCCAAATCGTGTAACTTACAAGTTTATGGATCATCTTTACAACTTTATGGTACTCTCGTATCCAAAACATTGTAAAAAAGGCCTTTAATCTTTTAAACACTCATTTTACTAGAATAAGGACCCCAATTTACATCTTCATGGTAATGTGGATCCATATCCTTGTAAAATCAGGATTTACAACATCATGGATTTGATGAACCTTAACTTTGTAATTCCGGTCCATATATTTGTAAATCGCAACCCAAATCTTGTAATGTATATGTTTATGGATCCACTTTGCAACATTATGGTACCCTGGTATCCAAAAAATTGTAAAATCGGCCCTTAATTTTGTAAACCCTCATTTTGCTAGAATAAGGATCTCAATTTACATCTTCATGGTCCGAACTTACCAATTCTTTGTAATATGATTCATATCCTTATAAAATAAGGCTTTACAACATTATGGATTATGAGAACCCTAATGTTGTAATCGTGGTGCAAACACCTATAAATCGTTATCCAAATCGTGTAACTTACATATATATGGATCCTCTTTACAGCGTTATGGTACCCTCGTATCCCAACTATTGTAAAATCGGCCCTTAATCTTGTAAACCCTTGTTTTACTAGAATAAGGACCCTGATTTACATCCTCAAGGTCAACACTTAACAATTCCTTGTAATGTGGATCAATAACCTTATAAAATGAGGATTTACAACATTAAGGATTGGCTGAACTCTAACTTTGTAATCCCGGTTCATAAATTTGTAAATCTCATCCTAATTCTTGTAATGTACATGTTTAAAGATCCTCCTTCCAATGTTATGGTACTCTCATATCGAAAATATTGTAAAATCGGCCCTTAATCTTGTAAACCTTCAT